CACACACACACACACACACACACACACACACACACACGCTTGCTCTTGAACCCCGTGGGGACTTTCCATTGACTTCCATTGATTTTTTTTTTTAGACTTTATATCCTAACCCTGACCGTATACCCTAAAATTACCCTCACAGGTACCACCTGACCCTAAAACTAACCTAAAGTCAACTCACACCTTAGTCCTAAACCTAAGCCCCACCTTTAATTTGCATTTGGACCCGTGGACCGGGCATTGGTCCCCACGAGGCTGCTTTTTCAGTAAAATTGTCCCCATGATGTAGGAAATACAAGTACACACACACACACACACACACAGGTTGGTTTTTCTACCCTTGTGCAACGACTTCCATTCATTTACCAGCCATTTCTATAGCCTAATTCTGACCCCTTACCCTACGCCTAAACCAAACTCARTTCACACTTTAGTCATAGACCTGACCCACTAATGGAATTTCCCCTCATTTAGACTTGGCTTAGGTCCCCATAAATACCAGTTGGTCCCCACAAGTAAGGGTATATGCCAAAACTTGTCCCAGCAGCATATGAATACCTGTGTCAGCTTCCTCAACCTGCTTGTGAGATTTTGATCTACACAAAAAAGACAAAATTAGTCATCCATTGCCCTGATTCTTCTGTTTCTACCAGTCTTTAACCTGAACAATGAAAGTGACTCGAGCCAAAACTTTGMCAGTGTTTAGAACCCTTCAAGAGCCAAGCTTTAAACAATTAAAAAGGTTTGTGGTTTGTTGCAACCCGTGCTGCATGAAACACAAGTTGCAAAACAGCATGGAGTTGGTCCTGAAGTTGGGGTTGGGACCTCAATGTGGATTCTGAAACAATTAATGGAGGGTCTTGAAAAGATCTAAGGAAATATAAAGTTATAATGGTTATACTTTTAATTGGCTTATTTCCAAAATCTCTAAACTTTAAAAATGGGAATGATTGTGATCATGAGTTTCTGCTCCAAACATCTCCCAGTGCTGATAGAAACACCTTTAGGGACCACTAGATTTCAACAAGACATCAGACGTTGGATCTCGCTGTTGTAATCTGAGACAATCTTTTTCTCACAGTCTCTACTCAAAAGCAAACCTGCAGGTGATAAGTCCTGCTAARTCCTCCTACTGCAGCACACAATCGGGACCATCACAGTGTGGTTCTCAGAGTTGTTTATCTCAGTCGATGATGGAAGAGTTGGAGGAGAATGACCTGGAGTTTCTGTTGTAAGCCAAGGAAAAGTGCTTTTTGTAGATTTGTCAGCAAGCGATCTCCACTCTTTCCTGGTCCGTGCTGTCTCCTGCATGGGTAAAAAATTATCTCATCTCCTTCCAGGAGTTTTTCTTCACAAGTTTTACTGTTTTATCATTTTCCCTGGGACAGTTGTAATGTTAACTGTTTTCTCACAGCCTCGGCCAGCAGCTTCTCAAAGAGATCAGTTCACTGCAGCCACTTTATAAAAAGAAACACTCACACAGTTCTGACAAAATCCTAGATACTGATGGCAACACACAAGGCATGGTCTCAGCAGGTGGTAAGAGTACCACACATCTGCGTGAATGATAGTGGGACTTCTCATAAACCAGATTTTAGAATCCTTCTGGAAGAGGTGGCTGTGGAAAGAGATGTTCAGGCTTAAGCTGCTTCCTCCATGACTTTTCTCCTGAACAAGTAGGATAAAAAGTTGGGTGGGCAGTTAATGGACCTACATCCAAGTGGCATCTTCTTCAAACTGAGCCCCAGGAACTAGGGGTATAACAACAAATCGAACGGCCGATTTATCAGGACCGATTTTCTTTATTTTTGTGAGACTGGCCGWAAGATCATCATCTCATCTACCTCCACAAAGATCTGAAGATCAGCCACTGCCAGCAGGGCCTTTTGCTCTGCTGTGAACTCTACCTCATGTTCAGGTAAAACAAGTTTGTATTGTGTCAAGGAAGTTGTTCAATGTTTTTCAGTAAAATAAGATTGGAACGTTAAAGGTGTATTGTGAACTTGTAACACCTTAAAGTGTCAGTTATTTAAAAAAATCTGAATCGGCAGGTCAGGGTTAGAAAACTGCAGTTGATACACCCCTACCAGGAACCATGCAACACCAAGTCAACCCCAGGCCTGGTTCTCTTTAAAGGGATCCACGAGTTAGTTGTTGTTAGTTGTAATGTTAGACTTTATTTGATAAACATACATTTTAACCGTAAAATAAAGACTGTAAAAATACTGTAGGCTGTTCAATTTTGTCAATTTTAAAAAATATATTTTAATATGGACTGAGCCATTTTATTTACACGCAAAGCATCCTGGGAAAACTATGACATCGACAGGTCCTCGGTGCGAGGCTGCTAGCGAGCTATATCCACCCTGAAGGTTAATCTTGGACA